GCTGAACTAGGATCCCTCACGTGTACATTATCCTTGGAGGATTTCAGCCACTTTTACGGCTTCAGCTACCTCCTAACGGTGGATGATTCTCAACATGCTTTCCAACTCCTATCGCTTTCATGATCTCTAGACCACTCATTCCAACTCTTTCTTGGAAATCTTCACTTGAGTGTTCAACAGCCAGCTCAAAATTAATATGTGCAAAGCTAAACTCTAAATCTGCTCTTCCTCTGCTCTTCCTCCTATTCCAAATATTATTTTATAACATTATCCTCCCTGCTGGACCCTAGCCAGAAACCCGGGCATCATCCTTGACCTTTTCTTCAACCTCACTCTCTGGAGGTACAATCAGTTACCATATCTCATCTTGTGTGCCTTCTTAGCTCTTTTTATTTTTAACAGTTTTTTGAGTTTTAATTTACATTTCATGAAATTGAAATTTTATGAAATTACATTTCATAAAATTCACTCACTTTAAATAGGCTCTTCAATGTGTCTCAATAAATGTATATAGCTGTGCAACCATCACCACAATCCAGTTTTGAAACACTCCCGTTATACCGAAAAGTTCCCTATGCCTCTTTGCATGCCCACCCTGGCCTCAAACAACCACCTATCTGTTTCTACAGTTTTGCCTTTTCTAGAAATTTTGTATAAATGGAATCACATAATATGACAGCTTTTGTATCTGGCTTCTTTCACTTTCCATGATGCTTTTGAGATTCATCCATGTTGTTGCATGTACCAATAGTTTGTTCCTTTTTATTGTTGATAGTATTCCCTTGTATGAGTATACCACATTTTGCTTATTTGTGGACATTTGATTGCTTTTCCAGTTTTGGGCTACTGTGCCTAATATTGCTAAGAACATTCTCATACAAGTCTTAGTGTGGATATATGTTTTTGTTTCTCTTGCATAGATAACTACAACTGGACTTGCTAGTTTATACGGTGAGTGTATGTTTAACTTTTTAAGAAACTGTCACAGTTTTGCAAACTGGAGCTCTATTTTACATTCCCACCATCAGTGTATTTAGCTTCCAGATCCTCATTTTCCCACATCCTCATCAACACTTAGAATTGTCTATCTTTTAATAGTAGCCACTCTAATAGGAGTAGCAGGGCATTTCATTACCATTTATTTTGTATTTCCCTGCGGGCTAATGATATTGAGCATCTTTTCATGAAATTGCATCAGTTTATCTTCTTTGGTGTTAATATTTTCTGCTCTTTTTTATTGAGTTGTTTGTCTCTTATTATGGAGTTGTAAAAGTTCTTCATATTTTCTGGATGCAAATCCTTTACCGGGTATGTGTTTCGCCAATATTTTCACAGAGTCTGTGACTTGCCTTTTCATTTTCTTTGTGGTGTCTTTTGAAGAGCCAACATTTAACTTCTTAGCTCTTTTGAATCTGGCTCATGCCTCTCTTCCCACAGCCACTTCCTTGAGTTCAGCTCTTTCCCATTCTTGGCTGAATTTTTGTAGTAGCCTAATAACTGGTCTCTTTATCTCCCCATTGCATTTTCTAAAATGTCTTTTGCTTTCAGGACTAAACATAAAATTTGTAGCCACACATATGGGACAACTATGGAGGGATGCCTCTCACATCTCTCCCTGAAGAACCTGATGCAGACAGCATAGTGACTGACAGCCTCCAGCCACCACAGCTGTGGATCCGCCACAGCACTCACTCCAAGGCCACTCTTGCTCCAAACTGCACCAAGCCAGTGACTGAGCACCACGCAAGACTCTCCTAAGAGGCGACCCTTGCTCGGGAGCTCCTAATCAGCCTTGCCAAGGCTTTCTCAGGATTTTGCTGCAGTCTGAAGCTTTTCTGACCCAATCCCGCCTTTCCTCTTTCACAGGTGTCAAACCTACATCACAATCTGAAGGCTCTCCTAGCCTTCTCCTATTTCCTCTCCCTTTATCCTTACAGGTGTTTTTCCCAATAAATCTCTTGCCTGTCTAGTCCTATCTAGGCATTTGTTTCTCAGAGGACCCATCTGACACAACAGGCAAGGCCATTCTTGATCCAGCCCCCAACTGGCTCCTCAGTCGTCAGTGAGCTTGTGCTTTCTCCTTTCAATATCATGACTATGGAGGGAACCAGGGCTTCTTCTGCCATATCCCAGCTTCCTCTCTTTTGTTCAGACTTCTGAGGCAGCAGAAGAAAAGTCCATCTGCAATACTAGAAACGCTATGATAATGTGCTGAGGAAGCCTTATAGGAAGAAGCCTTATAAGAAGAGCAGGGACTCCAAAGAAAATTCAGCCCTTCCAAAGAATATGTACCCCCAACACCTTTGAGCTATGTGTTGGAGGAAGAAACAAAAAAAAAACGCTTTTTCCATGGGGAGTTATTCTCCTTGTACACATAAATAAATTCACTCTTCCTTGCAAAAAATGATGCTCCTGACCCTACTCAAATGTGCCGTTGGAAGGGTTTTGTCAGTGAGAGACAGCAAGGGGACATGCAGTGTTTATCATCATAGGAGTCTCATGGGGCTCTTAAAAAGTTGCAGGGCGTTGAGTCCCAACCCAAACCTCCTAGACTAGACTTTCCAGAGAAAGGCACTGGGAAGATTATTTTGGACAAGTGCCCCAAGTAATTCTCAGGGTGTTTGAGAAATACTGGTAGAGTGGTTAAGAATACAAGTACTAAAGCCAGCCTGATTTAGTTTAATTCTAAATTCTGGCCTTTGCTAGCTGTGTAATCTTGGACAAGTTCCTTAGTTTTCTCATCTGTGAAATGCGATAATGAATAGTACTTCCCACATAGGTTGCCATGAGCACCCAAATAGTTAATGGTTATAGTATGTGTAGGACAGTGTCTGTGATGTAGTAAATTGCTCATGAAATCTGAACTCTTTGTACTGTTGTTGGTATTGTTATTATCACCACCATTATAAGTCTCATTAGTGACAGATCAAATGCAACAAAATCATGAGCACCTGCCAGGTATTATGCTAGGGTCTAGTATGGAGAGAGTGTGTTTTTGAGGGGTAGGATCAAGATATAGAAGTGAGCATGACATACCATCTGCTCAGAGCTAGGTGAGTTTTTCCTTTACCCATCCATGCTCTCCCGTCTAATCTCCATCACCCATGGCATTCATTAGGTAGCTATATGCCTGGATTAGTAACGGGCTCTGTTGTTGGTGCAGAGACAAGCTTAACAGTCTTTGATCTGGGCTTCAGAGAGGCTCTGAGATGTACAGGAAAGAGTCTCTGAGTCATCAGTTCAGAGTTCAAATCCCAGGGTATCTCATTAGAGTAGTGAATGACCTTGAACAAATTACTTAAGCTCTCTGAGCTTTTGTTTCCTTAATTTCCGAATGTTTTCTACCTCTCTAATGTGGGCTATTGTGAGGCTTAACTGAGATGATGTATGGAAACTCCCTGGCACATGCTGGGGGCTGAAGAAATGGACGTCCCACCTTGTTTCATTAGGACTGTTTTTGTTCACTGAGATAGATTTTAGTTTTTAGTTCACTGAGTAACCTACCCACAGAGCCTGGATGAGCCCAGCTGTATCCCTGTGAGAGGAGAGTTTCAAGGCCCTAAAGGCTCCCCAGACTGCCAGACTTATAATCCACTTTCAGATAATCCACTTTCACTGTGGATGCCTCTGCATGAGAACTGTCACTCACTCCTTGCACGTGTATTATCTTGTCCTTTACTCCTATAGTTTGGGAATGACAGTTCCAGGGTCCTTTAAAAATACTGATAGACATACATGTCAGCTCAACAAATCCAATTCTTTCCCCAAACTTTGACTTTGGTTTCATCAACGTGATTTCGAATTCTTGCTCTCTGCCTCGATGCTGAGCACATATGGCCTCTGTAAACATGTCTTCAAAATGTTTTCAAAGTTTCCAAAGTGAACTTTGGAACAGGACGGTAATATCACCAAAGCAGCAGTCATTGGGAAAATAATCTTTTTAAACAGGCTAATATGCTTTGGACTTTGATGTGTCCAAATTTCAGAGGAATGTATAAATGTGTTGGTATAAATTTTATTTTTTAAAAAAATTAGGACATTTCCTGAAGTAGTTGCCAAAATGTTGCCTAATTTAGAATTGTTCTTTCCACCCTGGTTTGCAAGGGCTTTGCTATGGGGTAAGGTTACATAACGGAGATTGTAAATCAAAATTTGCTTCTTACAAATTTCCAAGCTTAAAGCGAAAGTTAGTCCCCAAAAATGGATTAGAAAGTACTTGAAAGCTTTCTGAAGTGGTGGGTAGGATTACACAAAGATAGTGATGGGCAGTTCATAACGTTTTTGCTATTTTTCAAGTGTGATGGTGAACTCCTGCAAGTTAATAAAACAGAAATAGAGACATAACAAAAACTTTTTGGCACTGAGAATGAAAATGCTGGGATATTCTAAAAATTTGCTAGATAAGCAATTCATGTTCAAAGTGAAATAAATCATACAAATTATATGATTGATTTATTCAAATATGAGTCTATACTTCAGGGAAAAATGATTTCTGAGGAACAGAATAAAATTCTGGACATCCCTTGATGAATAATTGCAATTACTTAGATAAAACTGGGATGGAGTCACATGAGGTGGAACGCCAATTCCTAGGAAGTTGAGCTACAGCGGATCCTTATGTAACCTTGTACAAAAAGGAGAGGTTATCCCTGGGGTGACAGGAAGAACCTCCTTTTTTTGACAAAGTGCAGCAAGTAAGTGGAATCCTACCAGAAGAGTTTTAGAAATGCCACTAGATGAGGGCTAGTGCCACAGCTGGAGTGGCAGCAGGCAAGTTCTCGCCTCCTTTCCTGGTGTGAGCTGAGAGACTGTTTAAGATGTTTAAGAGAGTCCTGCCCAAATTAAGAGATTTAAAGCACATCCCAATGCAACCTGGCAGAGAGATATGTTTTAACCTTAGTCCCTGGCATGTGTTTTAGTCATTTATTCCTGCATAACAAATGATCTCAAAACTGTGGCTTGAAACAACAATTTATTATTTTTCATAATTCTGCACTCATTTGAGCAGTTTTCTTCTCCAAGAGGTGTCAGCTGGAGAACTTGGAAGCACTCAGCTGGTAGCTGGGCTGGCAGGTCCAGGAAGGCATGCTCACAGGTCTGTCTACTTTGGTGCTCCATCATGTTGCCTCTCCACGTGGTTAGCGTGGGCTTCCTTACAGCATGGCGTTCTCAGGGTAGTCTGGCTGCCTACGTGGCGGCTGGTTTTGCCAGGTCTTGGAAGTTCCCACTCAGGGCTTTTGTCACATTCTGTTGATCAAAGCAAGACATAAGGCCAGTATAGATCAAAAGGGAAGAGACACGGATCCCTCATCTTGATGGAGTAGCATGCACGTACAAGGAGGAAAAGAACTGATGGCAGCCCTCTTTGGGGGGTCTCGACCATAGTCTGAAAAAGTGGGGCGTTCGAGGCTGGCGGTCGATGGCGTTGGAGAAGAGCATGAAATCAGGCTAAGCAGGGGACAGCCCTATCTGGAGGCACAGCTGGTGTGTGAAGCTTATTAAAGCATAGGCAGTTGGGCACCAAACTGCGGGTAGAAGTTCAGAAATAGTGCAATGGGAAGTTGATCCTAAGGAATCGTAGGGGAAAAGAGAAAAGGAATCTGGGAAAATTATACCAACACAAATCAGGCTTTCCGTGATACCATGGATTTTTAAAAGTTAACTATCTATACAAAAACAAGATCTTTTTGCATCATCTTTGTATCACTGATGACTCAAAGCTTATGACTTTAGGTGAAGAGCAGGGAGATAAATGGCTCAGAAAAGATGGGGCCAGAAAAGCACAGTCAATTGCCTGAGCTTGTCCTGGTTGCAGTTGGCTTCCCCATCACTCCTTTGGAGCCTTGATAGGAAGTAACCAGCGTTCTCATTGCGGAGAGGAAGTGCTCTCCTAGGGAGTGCTTGTAGGTGTGGTCATCCTAAAGACTTTGCTGATGGGAGTGCTACTGGCGTTTAGTGGATAGGGGCCAGGGCTGCTAAACATCCAAACACCCCACACACTTGAGGAGAACTGTTCCAGCCCAAATGCCAGCAGCACCCTAGTTGAGAAATACAAAGTAGACAATTGGGGTGATATAGAGTATTTGGGTGGAAAATATTGAACTTGGAAGATGCAAGGACTGTAAGATCCCACAATAGGCTGTAGTCTTATGGTAAGACCAGAGTCAGAAGTGATACTAAAATGTAGGAAGTATGGTGCCTATAGAAAATACACTCTTTAGATCACGTACCCCCAAACGGCCGCCTTTGGAAACATGCATTTCCTCACTTATCTCAACCATTCTGAAATGTTAGATGGAGAATCAAGAAAGGTTATGATTTTTTTATAGAGATAAGACTATACCATAACCTTGTGAAAACGTCTTTCTAGGGATTGGCTTATCTCTATCTGTGGAAATTATGGCATCTTGTTTTTGTTGTTCTTGTTCAGAATCAAATATGTTCAGTTTTGCTGTGAAGAGATGTTTTTGTCAACATGTAGAATCCTATTTTATTCTTCCCTAATCCAACTGATTTTCCCCCACCTGCCAACCAGTTTTACATTGTCTGTCAAATCCGGTCTTTGATGGCAGTGGAACCTGACTTACGTAGAACCTTACATGGGGTCTAATATGTTGCTTTTCCTCCAGAGTGAAATTCACAACGTGTTGCAGAGACATACTCTGCAGCCTTTCTCTTGCAGTGATACAGTTAAGAAGTGAGCTTGAATTTGGGAGTCCTGATCAGTCTGATCATAAAATTGTCCCTCCCAACATCAATCTTTTTCTTCTATTCCTCCTTCTTTGTTTCTTTTCATGCTTTTACTCTTTTGTGTAGCTGTGACTAATACAGAGATTTTTCTCAGAGGGAGGAAAGTGTTCCATGTGAAGCTTGGTATTGTCCATCCCAAGGTCTGGAAATGACCTAGGTGTTTGCTGCTGTGTGGTCAGCAGATGGATATGTCTCACCCACTCCTAAGTTTCAAATTTTAAAAGCTTTTTAACAACCTCTAATTTGTCAATGGATAATACAAACTAGGCACAAACAGCAGTGATTTAACTGGGTACACTGACATCTGCTTTTACAGCCGTGTACTTTTGAAAATTGCGCACAAGTATGTTGATTGAGTTCACGTTGACCAGGAAGAAAGTCACTGAGAGGGGCAAGCTCTAACACATGTAGTATAGATTTTTATTATCCATACAGTGAATTACCTGTGGCAAATTTGAAATCCCCACTTTATTTCTTCTTCTACCTAGCACTTATCTGGACTCCTTCCCTCTGTGGTTGGTTGATGTGTGCTCTGGGAATGCGAAATCATTTTAGTGCATTCTCTTTGATGACTTGGAAGGCATTTGAGACCACGCAGAGCCGCAGGGTCATGGTTATGAACAACAATTATTGTACTGGAGATTTACAGATGTACTGGTTACTAGAGGGTTGTGGTTAATAGAATGTTAAACAACAAAGAGTTTATTGTATAACTATGGAGGAAAAAGCTCCCCAACAGCAAAATACATAATCTCAGAAAGTCAGGAGATCTGGAGGAAAACACACAAAGTTAAGTTTTTCCTTTATAAAAAAAATTCTTCCCCCAAATTAAATGGTTCGAGTTTTAGAAACTTACCCTGTGGGAAATACATTGCTTCAGAGGAGAAAGAGATTAAATGTAGATGCAACAGGCAGTGTCTCCCATATGTAAACTCTTTTCCACAATGTGGTTAAGCATTTGGTGAAATCTGATTAACTCCAGTCACTAGGGAACTGTTCAGTGGCTTTTTACTTCATTGCACTGATTCTGGCCCTGTGGACCTCCTACTACACATGGAACATCAGACCTGATCTTTCTGTGGCAAATTCAAATGCAGTTCAGGAGCTACCATGACCCTTTACACTGAATGCATAAACCTGACACTGCCTTTTAATACCATCACTTGCCTTAGACTCTGGTAACCAGATACATAAATTGGGTCTCGCTAAGAAGTTCACCAAAACCTAAGAAAACTCCATCGTGGTAATGCTCATTATATCACAGTGGATGGGGTTGTTTCTGACCATTTCCCAAGACCAGTGAAGTGAGCTGTGTAACAGACCAAACCCTACTGAGTTTAATGCGTTAGGTAGACAGGCTACACAGTGCCAGGCAGCTGGTGGTAGCATGTGTTTCTGTCCAGTGACTGCTCTGGATGTCTTTGACTTGCCCCTCCAGATCCATTCCCTACCCGCTTCCGTCCTTCTCTGTGTCCAGGGAGGCTGACCTTGGATTTGCCCGATAGAGAGGGGAGACACAGCATTGGGAGACTCAAAGAAAGGGAGGTCAGGAGATTTACCCCTCCCACTTCTGGTTCCTAACCTAGCTGGTAGCTACCTCCTTCTACTGAAGTCAGTGGCTTCTTTGGGTCAGCCCACTCTGCCTCTGTGTTCTGGTGACCACTCTCTCCCTTCAGGTTTAGGAACTGCAATAACTCCTGCTCCGGCTAGCCCCAGGTTGCTGTAATACCTTTTGTGGATTCTCTTTCCTACCCAGACCTTTGGAAGTAGCCCCTCTGTTAAGCTGGCCTTAAGTAACCCAGTGAGTACGATGGCCTGTCTCCTGCTGGAACCCCGATGCACACACAGACTTAGCCCACTCCTCTTTGTGTGTAACTCCATGTGTCCCAGGCTGCAGGTAGGAATGGGATAATAATAACAGACACAAAAGAGTATTTTTCTAGTTCCCCTGTCCCCATGCTCCCTGCAGACATTTCAATTCCTTGGTGCCCTAACAAGAAGTCCCCTTGATTTGACCCTTTGGATACACAGCCTTCCTCCCTTCCTGCCCCAGCTCAGTATGCTGACAGCTCTAGCCATCTGAAAAGGCAGCAGTGCCAGCTTTGCCCCGATGGCTCCCCTCGGTCAGCTGCTGCAGAGCGTCTGGGCCAAGGTCCCTGGTGTGGACTCTGAAGTTGACACTGTGGCTTTCAAACTGCAGCTGCCGTCACCAATCCTGGCTGTCACTGCTATGCTCTGCTCCTCCAGTCTCAGTGTCCCATGGAAATGATACTCTTTATCTTTACTTGCTTTTTATCAGAACTCCCTTGGCCAGAGACTTGGTCATAAGCCCAGTGGAATGGGTCAGAGTTTAGTGTAAGTGAGAGATAATGCACTGATCTTAGAATCAGGCATCCCTTTGGTTTACCAGCCCCTTGTCCTTAAACCAACTTCCCCAACTCCATTTATCCTTCCCTTGGGAAGTGTTCTCTCTCAGGAGTCAAGTTTCTCATGTAAACAGTGCCCTGTTGGGCTGCCCTGTTATTTATTCTTCCAGACCTGCCTAGAAATGTCTGGATCCTAAGGGGAATTCGGCTTAGATTCACTCGATACCTTCATCTGCTGGCTATTCTACTTTGGCCCCAGAAACCCACCCTCTACCCATATCTGCCTCAATCTGTGCTCGGGAAGGCTAAAGTCTATGGATTCCATTACGCAAGCTCCCTTGCCCTCTCAGTGCCATTTGGGCTCAGGCAATGGAAGGCAGTGGCAAGAAATCAGAGGGTGAGCAGAGAGAGATCTCAGTGTTTACTCCCCTTCCCACCTAGCTGGGGTGCAGTTTGGTAGTAGCTATTTACATACAGTTACAGTACCTACCAGGTCGCCCTCACCAGGGCTACAGCTTTTGCTGCATTCTGGCAAGAGTGCCCCCACTCCTTAGTCCTAGGGATGTGTGGTGGGCATAGCTGCCCCCCAAAGATGACCACGGCCTAATCCCTGGAGCCTGTGAATACGTTACATTACATGGCAAAGGGGATTTTGCAGGTGTGGTTAAGGTAATGGCCCTTTTAAGATAGGGAGAGTAGCCTGGGTTATCCAGATGGGCCCAATCTAATCACACGAGCCCTGAAAAGCAGAACTTTCTCCAGCTGGAACAGGATAGATGCCCCAGTAGAATAAACCAGAGACGCTCCAAGTGTGAGAAGGATTCAATGTTGGTTCTGAGATGGAGGGGCCAGGGAGGAGGCTCTACCCCCAGCTGTCAGTCAGTAAGGAAACAGCTCTCAGTCCTACACCTGCAAGAAACTGGATTCTGCCAACAACCTGCATGAGCTTGGAAGTAGGCTCATCCCCAGAGCTGCCAGAAAGGAACATGGGCCTGCGGACACCTGTCTCCAGCCTTGTGAGACCAAGGAGAGGGCCCAGCTGAGTAACACTGTAACCAGACTTCTGAGCTATATAACTGTGAGATAATAAACAGGTATCATTTTAGGCCACTACATTTTTAGTAATTTATG